ACATATGATAAAGCTAACACATTTGTTTTATTTAGTGTCCCTAGGGATGAATAAGTAGCAGATAAGTTTAATTACATATTCAGTCTAGTTTGTCAATTTGTCAAAAGATCCTGATATTTCAATTGAGTGCATTTAAAAAGCCAATATAGTTTTTTAGTAGCCATCGGGTAATATAAAAATAAAAGCTTATGGCTAAAAAAACACTCGAAGAAAAAAATTTGCATGTGAAACCAAAAAACAGCTCACAAAAAGAATCAAGCGAATGCACATCGAATACTAATTGTAAATGAGGTGATAACGTACCAGGTGATTCTTCAAACGATATGTGGTCTGAAAAAAATAAACATTCCATAAAAGTTCTTTTAACTAACGAAAATAAATGGCAGCAAGCAAACGCCAAGAATAGCCAACAAGGCAAGGCAACGACTTCAATAGAATACGAAATAAATGTAAAAGATAAACAAATAAAAAACAAACAAAACAAAAACACATTAAAGCTTGACTTGAACGCTGGCGCAAAAAAATAAACAACTGGTTCTTATCCTCATCAACCGAGTAACGGTTGTCCAACTTAAACTGGTTTAGCAAGAAAACCTCCAAAAATGGTAACAAAGAAATTATTATTAGTAATCGCAATGAGATAGTGTTATGATAATTTATTCTCCAGCGATCAACGATCATGTTATGGATGATCGTATGAAGGTAAAAGTAGCATAATGTTTTCATTTGAAAATTGAATATTCAATGATTTAATTATATGAAGAATATATCCAGGTCAAATGCAATATCAAAAAAGTAATGCAATGATGCGATGGAAGATAACAAATTAAAAAAAAATTGTAACGTTATGTTTAAAGTTGATTGAGGCATATATTTTCGTTAAAAATTAAAATAAAGTTGGGAAATTGTCCTTTCAGTTTTAATATGCTCTTGCTTTTGAAATCCTTTTAGAACAATTGCGCCGAATTTTTTACTTTTATATAATTTTGCGCTACCGGAGCTAGAGCCCTTTATGACCAACAAATACCAATTTTCAGACAATTTCGTGAAAAAACGTCGCAAAAATCATCAAAATACCGAAAATCGGGAGGTACCGTTTTATGGGGGATATACCAAAACGTGGACCTATCTATATGTACTATGTTCCGCCACCAAAGCTAAAACCATTGCGAACTACAAATACCAATTTTTAGACAAATCCGTTAAAAAATGTAGCAAAAATCATCAAAATACCCAACATCGGAATGTACCGATATATGGCGGTTATATCAAAACGTGGACCGATATATCTCATTATCATTACCAAACTTCCTGGCCAAAATTTGAAGCCATATGTCGAATAATGTGGGCTGTATCGTGATTTCTACAAACAGACGGACATCGTTATATCGGCTTAGAATTCTATGCTGATTATGAATATATATACAGGGTGAGATGAAAAACTGCAAACAACTTCAGACTGCTGTCATTTCCAAGCCCCTCGTCCGACAACTGTTAAAATTATTCCAGTGAAAGCTCATTATATTGTTTACAAACGTACAAAATCATTTTGGTGAGAATTTTCCAGAAAAAAAAGTTATTATTTATATTTTGCTGGAAACCCACAAGTGGCTATGATTAGAGAACTCCAGCATTTAAATGTGGATAAATCATTTGTGTCCCGTACCATCGCTCATTACCGTTATACTTGTAGCGTAGCCCGACGTCACGGAAGTGGACGGAAGAAAACAACAACCTCAGCAGAAATGGTACGAAAAGTAAAGAAGCGACTTGATCGAAACACGCGTCGCAGTGGCTGAAAAATGGCTCGAGAACTGAACATATCACAATATTCCATTCGGTAAATATTGAAAAATGAACTCGGGGTAAAACCTTTGTCCAGCAGTTTGTAAACAAACAAAATGATCGTGTTTACTTGCCAAAGAGGTCAGCTGAAAATGTGCACCTTCGGTTGGCCACCAGAACTCAAGCGCCGGCCATGATGATGGTGTGGGCCGCCATGGTCGCTCTCCGCTCGTATTAATCGACCGTGGCATCAGAATAAATGCCGAATATTATCGCGAAAATATTCTGGAGGATGTATTAAAGCCTTGGGCACGAAAACATTTTGGCCGCAGACCTTGGACAGTCCAACAGGACTCAACATCATCGCACTCAGCCCGCTCCGCCCAAGAATGGTTACAAAATGAGGTTCCTCGCTTCATTTCCAGCGCACAATGGCCACCAAAATCTCCGGCTACCAATCAGTTGGACTATTGTGTCTGTAGTATTTTGGAAAGCAAGGTTGGCACCAAAATTATACCAAAGTGTCGCCGGGAATGGGACAAAATACCGCAGAGCAACATTGGGGCAGCGTGTTTTTCATTGGCCGTTTGAAGTTCATAATTAGTGCAAAAGGTGACAAATTCGAACAAATCTAAACTTATTCTAAAATTTGATGCTATTTCCGACTGCTTGCTTTCATTAAAAAAATTAAAAATAAATGTAAAAAATATGGCGTTTGACGTTTTTGCAGTGTTTTATCTCACCCTGTATAACGACACTGTTTTTGACGGGTTTTATTTGGATCTTTGGACTTTACAAAGAATTAGTTGTTCCGTACAAACCTTTCAAAAATCAGTCCAAATTTTATTATAACCCAAATCCCATTCGGGATGATTCCGATTTTTCTTATATTTAAATATTATATTTGGTATGGTATTTTTTATTCTAATGGAATAGCCTTGTTGTTACGGTACCACCTGATATTCAATTTTTTTGAGAACTTCAAATACATTTTACAATAATTTCTGAATTCATTTAAAAGACACAGATCTGCATTGCAAAAATAAATTGGAATGGGTACATTCAAATGTTTTTATTTTCTTTCAGTGGAAGATAAATATTATCAGTTCATTGCCTATTGAATTTTTATACCCTACAACACTATGTGTTGGGGGTATTATAAGTTTGATTGGGCCAAAAATTATGTAACACCACGAAATATTGGTTTCCCACATAGGAAAGTATATATGGATCATCCTAGCTCGCCGAGCTGAGTCGATCTAGCTATGTATGTCCATCCGTCCGTCTGTCCGTCTGTCCATGTTAATTTGTAATCACTCTACAGGTCGCAATTATGGCCCGATCTTCACGAAATTTGGAATGGAGGTCGGGGTCGGGCCAGAATAGAACCCTATTTCTTTTTGAGATGATCGCCAAATGTTTAGGGGTTGAAATGGACCAAATACTGAAAAAATTTCGGATTTTGCAGTAGCTATACAGGTCGCAATTATAGACCAATCGACGCGGAATTTCGCATGTAGCTAGAGTTTAGGACGGGAAAGAAGCCTACCAAATTGGGTGGTCATCGGATAATATTTAGCGGGTAAAATAGACCATATATTTTGTGTTGAAAAAATTCAAAATTTTTCATTAAACCGCGAATATTTTAAATCCCGGCGAAATCACAAAGTTATGACAAGGTTACTTCTGACCTTTACATTGATGTTAACATCCAACAAATCGGATATATAGCAAAATATGTGCGATATATATGTTTATCAAAGAAGATATGCTTGAAAGATCTCTTATATGTCGAGAACGGCTGAACTGATTTCGACAGTTGTGTTTAATTCAGAATGGCCTCTTGGCAGGAAAGAAAAAACGTCTAAAAAATCGCATAAAAATATCTCTCTAAAGATGAAAATATTGATTTTGTAAAATTTTCTCATATTTTTTCAATTTTGTCATATTTTTGGCATATTTTCATTTTGAATTAAACATTTGCTAATATTTCTACAGCTAACATAACTAAGTTATTAGGATATCAGGATACCATATACAGATCGCATTTATGGCCCGATCCTTACGAAATTTTGCATGGGGATAAGATGAGGGTCAGAATAGAAGCATACTCTTTTTGGAGATGATCGCCATATATTTAGGGGTTGAAATGGACCAAAAAACTGCAAAATTGTCGGCAGGTCGTAATTATCGCCCGATCCTCACGCACATTTGAATGGGGGTTACCGGACATTGCAAAAGCCAAGCAGTTTTGGATGGCCATCCAAAAATATTCTATGTGTGAAATAGTTTGCCAACTTTTGTAGACAAAATACGAAAATGTCCATTCCAGAGACTTTTTCGAGAATTCACAAATACAGGAAAGACGCACTTCTGACTATTTCGTTAACGCTGATTTCATTAAGGAATATAGTCAAATGTCTGTATCTCATATAGATGCGTTTCAGTCAAAAACCAATAATAAATGTTAATCTTTTGCCACTCCTAAGAAATTATAGGTCTTTGGGAAATATTGGTTCCAGAGACCATTTAAGTGCAACATCTACCAATAAATTGGAAATGAGCAAATTAGTTTAAGTTGCTATTATTTGAACATTAGAGAACGAAACATGATGGTTTTCTTTTATTATTTGTCACAATATCTTGTGGAATTCTTTCGAGTATCCCGCCTATATAAACTGTATCGTTTATTATAGTGTTGTAGGGTATTCAACTGTCGGCCCCGCTCGACTGTAGCCTTTGCTTACTTATTTTACTTGGTGTTATTAAATTTTAATTGCCGAACACATTTTAAACACAATTTCAAATTTGTATCTCCAATGGTTGCATATGTGCCAATAGTATAAATTCTCATTGCATTATTCAATAACACAAATACAAACCAAAATTTATAAAACACATAAATTGAATGTATGCCAAAAACCAAATGCTTTGACTCATTTTCTTCACGATGCTACCTTATATTGCTAAAAATATTTCCCGATTTGTTAAATATTTTATCTGCAAGCATAAAATTGGCAGGATATAAACAAAATATTGGAAACCAAGTTGGTTCTTAGATAGACACCATCTATCTATCTGCTCGTGTTTGTATACATTTACACAATGTTTTACTATATGGACCCCCACTTCCCAAAATGTCATGTACTAAATATGTATGTATGTATATATGCATGATGGTGTGTTTGTATGTATGCATGTACATAAAAACTTACCAACGAGACCTTGAACTGATTCTTTTTGCTAATGTTTGCTGCTGTTGTTGCAGTTGTTTGGGTAATTGTTATGGTTGCTGCTGTTGTTGTTGGATGGTTGATTGGTTGGTTGGTAGAGGGTTTGTGTTGTTGGTTTTGGCCTTCTGTGGCTAGTATCTTTGTTGGTTTACAGAAAAAAATAAAACACAAGGTTTTGTTGTTGTTGTTTTCTTTTATCTCTAAATGTTGAATGTTAGTGATATTTTTGTTGCTGTTGTTGCCTTTCCAACCAAGATAAAATTTCAACTTTGCAAAAAAGCCAGTTTTGTATCTTGTCTTTTAATATCCGCAATAAACATTTGAATAATTAGCGTAATCGACAATGCCTGAACAATTTTCCCTATAATATATATAAATAATAATGATTGTGTATTGGTTAGCTGCTGCCACAGCTGGCGAAAGGTATACACCAGGTATTGCCTGACCGAATGGACGGACGGACCAGCATATGGTGCATATGATTTGGCCCACTGCATCGAACGAAAAGTATAATTAACAAAAAGCAAATACCAAACAAAAACTTAGAAAAAATTGGCAAAAACAAAGCTATGACGGCGTTAACACGATACATTACAACTACCACATTGAATTTCTTTGTGGTCCCAAGGGGGGAGGCACTATTGTTTCTGGCTAATTCATAGGTGATAATAACAATGAATGTTTATAAATTATTCTTCTTTTTTATTTTGCTTTTCAAAGCAGCAAACTCTAGAACACAAATATACGAAATACTGCAGAAAATTATTTGTTCGCTCTTTCATTTAATGACGTACACAAACACACTCTCACTGAGCAAATAGAATAGCAACAATCATTAGAGCAAAAGCAACACACACGAATTGCGCCCACTCTCCACCTCTCAAACAATACGAAAGCAAAAAAACACAAACAAATGTTGATGAAGGGCACCCATGGCAGAAGGAAATAATGCACTATGTGAAATGCCAGCAAAATTGCACTTTTTATTTTGCTTTTTACACAAAAACAACAAGAATGAATTGGAAAACGACAAATGTTAACGACATAGATACGAAGTTGTTTTTCTTTTTTTCTGCCAGATAATTGTAAACACTTCGATTTTTCACATTTAAACGTACAAAAACAAACCACAATCTTCTTTAGTGTCCGTCAATTTGATTTTCCGGATATCAGATGATCTATTTTGTATTTTCCAATCAGTATTCTAAATATTTAGAACAAGAATTTAAATTTTCCAATTGCTTCAATCCATAACAAAATAGCACTGCAATTTTTGTTCTTGTTTGACACACAAAATTACGCAGTTAAGAAAATGTAAAGTAGGTCGGCGTTAGCGCCATTCGTTTTCTATGTCGACGGCGTTGTTTTATTATTCCACAGGAGAATAGGTGGCAAACAATGTAATTTACATCCGGTTCAAAATCCGAATACAATCGTAAAGGTGTTAGGAACACTTCAGAGATTTTCCAAATAGAGAATCCCCTTTATTAAGTAAATTCATAGATAACAATTTACCCTTTAATTTTTTCCTCCCAAAAGATGCGACGGCTTCACGTACACTAACATTTAAACGGCATTGTGTTGTTAATGTAAATGCTCTCTATTGTTTTTCTCTGAGCATAAGACATTCAACTTTTTATATTGCACATCTCATCGTGATTTATTTTATTTTTTCATAAATTATTGGTATTTTCATTCATTTCTGTTATTTTTTTTTTAATCTGTGGCTTTTTTCCGTTTAATAATTGTTTCTTATTTCACAACCAATGAGAACTACACAAAAAAACAAGACACACTCTCTCCGTGTATCTCGTAACTGTTTGTGTTATTGTTTTGATGACATTAGGGACAGGTAGGTCGAGTTCTGACCAATCGATAATGGAATTTTTGCAAAACAAGCAGGTGGAATTTCTTTTTGGAAACATAGGAACTGTTCACATAGATCGATTTTTCTCCAATATTGTTTTTCATTTCTGTTTTAGACTTCCACCATGGTAGAGGAATATAGGTAGTCGCGTCGACACAGCTGCTGGGACAATGAACTGTCAAACCAATTTTGGAATTGAAAATGTTGAATGAAAAATTATTTTAATTTGCAAAAATTTTTGGAAAACGCTAATTATAATAGCCTCCTTCTAACTTAGAATAAGAAAACATATAAAAATCTACTTATATTTTAAAAAACATTTCAATTTTTTTTTGACATATCAATGCTCCCACGCGTTGATGCATCTACCTGTATTCTTCTGCATGACTTCCACTTTATTCAATTGATATAAAGGTGTCTTTAGACCAAAAACAAATGTGTTTGATTTTAATATATAAACCTACTGAGGTTTTCTTTTGTTTCCCGGATATTCAATCGACCTATTTTTTTAAGTAACAAAATTTTGTGATAAAATTGAAATATTAAGAAAATAATTTCTGACACAATGGGTACGACGCAGATGTATAACAAAATGCTTATATTTTTACAAAATATATGCTATATTCCGAAACCTGCAAGAATCTACTAGCCTTGCAAATTTTTCGATATCATAAAGGGAAAATCGGTAATTGTATTAAAAACTTGTACTTTCCTGCAGTTCTGGAACAGACCAATAATGACAATGACATACTCTAAATCAGGGGTTCAATTCTCGTTCCATTTTTTGAACATTTTTATGTAATTATTTGTACAAGGTAGACACCTTTGGCTTCGCAGATAATCTGCAAGTAAACGATAAAGAATGGACAAATATATCAGCAATAATCTCTGTTGTTCCTGAGGGACGTGTACGGGCTTTGACCTTATTAGTTCCAATTTGTCCAACAATTTATTTTTTGCAAGATGAATTACCCATTTTGCCAAAACATATGCAAAGTTGTTCTGTTCCAGAACTTATAAAAGTAGTTTTGAAAATTTTCCCCAATTTTCATACCCTCCACCATACTATGAAAGTATATTATCTTTGTCATTCCGTTTATAACTTCTCGAAATGCTCATGTCAGATCCGAATAAAGTATATTTGTTTTCGATCAGCGTAAATTTCTAAGTCGATTTAGCGATGTCCATCTGTCTGTTGCAATAACGCTATATTTTGAACGAATTGAATTGCACACATGTGTATTTTGGCGTTAAGTTCGAAAATGGGCCATGTAGGTCCACGTTTTCATATAGCCCCCATACAACGGCACCCCACAGTATTCTACTACAATGTATGACAAATAGTTGTCCTTAACCCCCATATAACGGTACCTACTAATGGGTACTACAACCTATAACAAGATATTGCATATGCAGGTCCACATTTTGCGGTATTATGCACCAGATTTGTTTCAAATTTCGTAATTGAAGTTCGTAATAGGTACTAAAGACTATGAAAAAAAAAATAATAATGGAAAAAGGTTCATCATTTGAGATGTATTTTTTACGGATTTTTTTTTTTTTTTTTTTGAAAATTTCAAGTTCCTTAAAAATGGCGGAGGGAAAATAAAGTTCGGCCAGGGAAAACTTGACAGCTTTTCTTCTTGTTTCCGCACTGATTAGGAATGTTTAAAAATTTTTGTTTTCGTGCTGGAACAAACGCTGTTTTTTGTGTGTAGTATTTCGAATAATATAAAAAATTGTTTTGAATATTTGTAAAAGTGTTAAATAAAACACTTATTTTACATACAACGTAAAATTGTATTACTGTAATTTTCTATGACTCCCCTTGTTAATTTTTGTGCCATGTTAAAAAATAAAAAAATATTGGTGTTGTTTTTATACAAAGCTGCAATGTTGACTGATTGTTCTTCAAATAAGAGATTCAAACTAATAATCCCTTTACATTATAGTTTGAAAGTAACTGGAACATATATTTTGTGTAACGGATATCACTTTTGTATTAGTATAATGAAGAAGAAGAGAACAATTTGCACTGCTTCCATTCCAATTGAGAAAACAGCTGTTGCGTCGTTTTGCCTCTTCCACTTTCTATACATGCTGGGTATTTGGTGGGTTGTCTCTTCCTTCATTCGCAACTCTCGGTGTTTTGATGTGTACATGTGCAGTGGTTGTTAATGTGTTTGTGTGCAGAGTACACATACAAGATAAACCTACGCCGTCGAAAAAATCATTCCGCTACGTTGTCTGATACCCATCTCATTCTGTAAAAAATTCTGCCGGAAAGTGGTTGCAAAACATCGAATTCTTTTGTTTTTGTTTAAACAAAAGAAAATGGCAAGACAATAAACAATAAATTCTGTTACAACAACAAACTAAAAAAGGAAATGTGAGCAAACCAAAATCGAGAGAATACCAAAATAAGCAAAACTCATTAAACAATCAAAAGTATACCATAGAAGACGACGCGCAAAGTGATAAACAAAAATACATAGACAAATTGAAAACAATTAAAAATACTCATTGACACACAAAAAAAAGCAATAACAAATAGAGAATACCAGAAATATTTCGTATGTAAATTTTTGGTTAAAAAATATCTTTTAAAAATAAAAGAATAGCCATGAGCAGTCAAAGTCATCGAAAGATGTCGGGTATACGACCCAATAAGCCAAGAACAGATGAAATAGAATTGACAGGTAAGTTATTAGTGAACTTGGGATGGTGAATTGTTAATGGCAGTGTGTATTTATCTCTTAATTTTGCAGAACTTTTCTCCTCACAAATGTCCCAGCTATGCCTCAATGAAGACTATTCCGATGTTTGCTTTATTGTAGAGAATCAAAGGTTACCAGCCCATCGTGTTATGCTGGCTGCTCGTAGTGAATATTTTCGGGCCCTTCTCTACGGTGGCCTTTCCGAGTCCACACAAACAGAAATACATCTTAAAGTACCGGTTGAAGCCTTCAAATCTTTACTGCGCTACATATATTCCGGTCATATGTCATTGGCTCAAATGGACGAGGATAATATATTGGATACCCTGGGTTTGGCAAATCAATATGGTTTATCGGAATTAGAGTTATCCATATCGGATTATTTACGCCAGTATTTGGCCTTGGGAAATGTTTGTGCAATTTTGGACGCAGCACGTTTGTATAATCTGGAGAAGTTGACAAAGGTTTGTTTGACCTTTATGGATCGCAATGCAGCCGACATTTTGCAACATGATTCTTTCAAGAGTTTATCAAAGGTAAGGGGGGAATGAGATTTAAATTTGAACAATTTTATTCTAATTTATACTTCTATATCACAGGAATCTTTGGAAGAAGTTCTGCGTCGTGATTCATTTTTCGCTCCAGAAGTACAGATTTTTATTGCCGTATGGGACTGGTGCAAACACAATCCCAATGTTGATATCAAGGTTAGTATAAGGATTACAATTTCAAACTACATTTTCAATATTTTATTTGTATCCCTGCAGTCTGTTGTTTCGTTCGTCCGTTTGCCTCTCATGAATCTGGAAGACCTGTTACACGTGGTCCGCCCATCTGGCATTCTAAATCCGGATAAACTTTTGGATGCCATCGAAGAACAAAACACATCGAAATATTTACCATATCGTGCTGCATTGTGGCCCGAAGAAAATGTTGCCACAGCTAAATTTGTATCACGCACCATTATGGGAGAGTGTCGTGCCGAACTACTGAACGGCGATGTTACTTCATATGATATGGAAAAGGGTTATACCCGCCACTGCATATCGGATACAAATGAAACGGGTATTGTCGTTGAACTAGGAACAATTTGCATTATAAATCACATTAAAATATTGCTATGGGATCGTGATAATCGTGCCTATTCGTATTTCATTGAAGTATCGCCAAATCAAACGCAGTGGGATCGTGTTATAGACTATTCAAAATATCATTGCCGATCATGGCAATTTCTATATTTCCCGGCCAGACCTGTGCGTTATATAAAATTGGTTGGCACATATAATACCGTCAATCGACTATTTCATGTGGTGGCCTTGGAGGCTATGTATACGACAAATTTACCCAAAGTGATCAATGACATTGTGGCACCGACAGCAAATGTGGCTACCATAGAAATGAGTGCTGTGGTCGTGGATGGAGTAAGTCGTACGCGAAATTGTCTAATTAATGGAAATTACACTGATTATGATTGGGATTCGGGCTATACGTGCCACCAATTGGATAGTGGAGAGATTTTAGTGAGATTGGGTAAGTTATCACCACATCGTATCATTTTTGAGTCCTTTTCCATTGTCAGTAATACCCAGATCTTCGGTTTGTAGTGGAATGATCGTCGGCATTAGTAGATTGGGAGGCTAAATATTTTTATGAGGTCATAGCTTCTATCCTTCTATACCCGTAAGCCTCGATTTTCAATTTTATATTCATTCTCCGACCAGATTTTTATGACCAGAAGAGAAAAACCTGATAAAATCAGACAAATTTTCTTTAGGGATGATTTTGAAATCTCTTGAGTTTTCTTATCTTTCCCCCAGATATTTGTGAGGCATAGTCTCTGTGCCCCACCGATGGTTTTTCTTAAAAATCTATGACTTTTGGCTTGTGTACGAGGTAACTTGGTCTTTTAAGATACTGGATTTCGGTTTGTAGAGGGTAATTCCGTCAATCGGGAGACTAAATATTTTCATGGGGTAACTGATACTATGTTTATTTTTTCCTCTAGCTTCGATCCTCAAGTCTATATTCCTTTTCCGATCAGATTTTTATGACTTGAAGAGATGAACATTTGGAAATCCAGCACGCCTTTTTATACCCTCCACCATACATAGTATGGAGGGTATATTAAGTTCGTCATTATGTTTGTAAATTTTAGACATAACAAATACATATTCTTGATCAGCGTAAAATTCTAAGAGATTTAGCCCTGTCCGTCCGTCCGTCTGTCCGTCTGTTGTTATCACGCTAGAGTCAAAACGAACAAAGTTCCTGTCTTTGAAATTTTGCACAGTTCAGTCTTTTGTCTGCCGGCAGGTCAAGTTCGAAGATGGGTTATATCGGTCCACGATATCGTTTATCTCCCATACAATGTTACCCCCCGATATTCGGTATTTTAATGATTTTAGCTACATTTTCCAATGGAATTTTCTGAAAATCCACACAAGGAGTTCCTTTTGAGTACTTTATCCACTGGAAGATTATTGTCTATATGTCCAAGATATCGTATATTCCCCATATTACGATACCTTTTTATATTCGGTATTTTGATGATTTTAGCTACATTTTTCAATGAAATTGTCTAAAAATCCATACTAGAAGTTCTTCCCAAGCATTTTACTCCTTGGAAGAGAAATGTCCATATAGATCAACGATATCGTATAGCCTCCATATAACGGTAGATTCCAATATTCCGATGACATTATTCACCAGAGTTGTTTTACATTTCGTATTGAGAACTAAAAAACTGCAGTCTATCACAGAAAATTGTCTATGCAGGTCCGGGCCTTCGTGTAGGCCCCATATATTAGTACCTCCCTATATTCTGTATTTTGATGATTTTAGCTACATAACTCACCGGATTTTTTATGTTCGGATTTCAATATTGTAACGGTTTATGACAAATATTTTTATTCAGATCCACGTCTTCGTATATATAACGGCTATATTCGGTATTTTTAAGATTTTAACAAAATTTTTAGCGGCTGTTTTTATATAACGGCTATATTCGGTATTGTTTTTTGTTTTCTTTTTGAAAATTTCCAAATTCGTTCAAATTGGTGAAGGGTATTCAAAGTTCGGCACGGTCGAACTTACTGCTTATTTTCTTGTTCATGGATAAAATTGCTATATTTTGAGTTTCCTTATAAGAATTATTTCCCCGTTATGTCCCTATGTCGATTTAGTCATAGTCACGGAGAAAAAAAAACAAAATCCGCTATTTGAAAAGATAATAATCCTGTACTTCCTCCACTCTTTCCTTACTTTTTGAATACTACTCTCTTAACTTGTATAAAATTTTGAAAAATGTCTACCCAAACTAATTGTTATTATTTATTTCAGGCCAACCCTACATCATTGGCTCAATGCGCCTGCTATTGTGGGACTGCGACGATCGTACATACAGTTTTTACATTGAAACATCGGTAAATCAAAAGGATTGGGTTATGGTCGTCGATAAACGTAACGAACATGCTCGATCTTGGCAAAATTTCTCTTTCAATCCCCTACCCGTGGTGTTTATACGCATTATCGGTACTCGCAATACGGCCAATGAAATTTTCCATTGTGTCCACTTGGAGTGCCCATCGCAAGATCCAAATTTTTTATTAGCCGAAAAAGAAAAACAAAAACTGATGGAGGAGAAAGCAAAAGAACAATTGCGAATTGTGAATGATAATCAAGCGAGTACCAGTGCGGGTAGCAGGGCATCTACACCACGTCGAAGTGTTAATAATTTACGTGCCATAGCACCAGCAAATGTACAGCTAAGAGAAGTGGAGGATAATATCCTGGTGCAACTTGGCAATGTTGCCGGCGGACAGCATAATGTTTAAGTAATTTAATTTTATTTGTTACACATAGTACATACAACCCCATTCTTTCATAATACACTAAATAATAATAATAGCACATAATTCGTTGTAAACAAAATCGAATCGAATAAAAATTAACATAAATTATATTTGGGCAATAGACGGTACCACAATTTAATATATATATATATATGTCACAGTGTAGTACTAATTGAAGTGTAATCAGTGATATGTTACGATAATATAGTAAAAAAAGTATTTCTCAAAAATAAGAAAATAAAATTAAATTCCAAACGTTCGGAATGTTTTGCAATCGTGATACAATTCAATTGGTAATATTAGACTAACTTGGAAAATATTTAAGAGTGTTCATTTTATAAAATTATTGATCTGTTCTAGAACTGAAAGAATATAAAACTTTTTACTACGATAACCGAAAATTGGTAGATTCTTGCAGATTCTGGAACAGACCATATGTGAAATTGTGTTGCAGGTATGTTTGTGTCGTTATGTTTAAATTATGTAAATTTGTGTATTTGTTAATTTTTTTGTGTACAGTATTTTGGTTTGATAGTTCAGTAGTGGTAGTATTTAGATGTTATTGGTTTAATTTTTTTCTCTAAAAAACAATAAAGAAGTACACACATTTTTAGTGTTGTATAAAAATAATGCAATAATTCCATAAAATATCAGAATATTGTATTCATAGTAGTTTGAAATGATTTTTTTCAGTAGAATCAGCTGAATTGCCTGAATGAATATAGAGGTTGTAGCCCCGAACAAATTTTCTGTATAAAACTTACAATATATCCCGATGGTCCTTATAATCTAATATTCATGATAGTGGAAGCTCCAGTAGATATACTGGGTAGTTGCGAATTGAATAAACAGTCGTGGACAGTCAGCGGGTCTGGGGGGAGAGTCTCGGCTAAATTACCCGAGTACCAATAATTCTTAGACTCAGGCCTGAAATAGGCAAACCTATATACTTATCCCCACATAAAGAGGACTCCCTAACGCTGGGGTGTTATATGACCATGTGCTCATTACCGTTACATGTTTGCATTGAGGATACCGACTGTATTCTAACGTAGCTTCGTTGATGCATAGGGATCTCAACGAATTACCGATGTTGCGTTACAAGACGCCATCAAATCTTGTCCTACAATTTTTGCGGATATGAATCGTTAAGGCAAAGTCAGGACCGCATTCCTGTAGACTTTTGGGAAAGCCCTTCGTATGAGTGGGAAGAGGAAATGGATATTACGATAGTCCATGTCTCGACCTCAAGATAGGGGTTGACTCCCAAGCAAGTCGATCTGAATAGCCCTCTCTATCAAGACAGGATGCAATTTAGGTGGAAGCAGGACAAAGTGACGTCCATTGATAAAATGGACTCAACGTATAAAAAGGCATATCAGAGAGAAGTAAATTATTGTAGTCGATACGAAGTTGTAGGTTAGGACGAAATTGAAGTTCGTTACGAAGTTCGAGAGGAAATACACTAACACAACACTAAGGGAACTTCCGACAAACTGGATACTGGATTTGCAGAACAGTGATGAAACCAGAAAATCCCTGCTCATCTGTATAGGTGGTGTCGTAAGAGACCGGACCAAAAAAGATCATTGAAAAGAGAAGAAGAAATCGAAGTCCGGCTCAGCCAAGCCCATCAGTTAATTCATGAACAAAACCCATTACAGCGGAAAACGTGGTGATACAGCATATGGATGTGGCAGAGTCAACGGAAAATAAGGCTTTAGCGAGCGGATGTAACAGCGTCTTATCTGCCCATTTACCTATCTCGCCGAAGGCAGAAACATCAAAGGAGACCAAGTGTCAGTGCCAGTGTCTGTGAAGCGGATGCCGTCAACTGAGGTGCAGCAACCCAAGGCAAAAACAATTCTGACGACGTAGATGGTTCATTATGGACATTTAAATAATGTCTGCCTGAAGAGTTTCACGTTTTCGCATAGGACACATACAACGCTACCGCAAGATATTCCGATAATTGATCATTTTACCCACAACAGAATTTTCTCAAATCGCAGTGGGTACAACTTCCTGCTGTTTTTTTTTTTTGAGGACGAACATAAAAATTGGCTGATTCACTTAGCTGCAACTATACGGCTGTCTGTCCGTCTGTTGTAGTCACGCTATCTTTCGAACAAATTGAGATAGAAGGCTAAAATTTTGCACACATGTGCCAGTAGGCAGGTTAGGTTTGTAAATGGTACATGTCGGTCCACTCCACCGTAGTATGTAGGGTATATAAAGTTTGTCATTCCGTTTGTAACACCTCGAAATATACATTCTGGACCCCACAAAGCATATGTATTCTTGATCAGCATAAAATTCTATGTCGATTTTGCGATGTCCGTCCGTCTATCCGCCTACCCCTGTGGAAATCACTCTATCTTCCGAACGAATTGAAGTAGATTGATAAAATTTTTTTCAAACGTATATTATGTTTGCAGGACTGTTGGTATTGAAAATGGGAAATGTAGGTCCACGTTTTGGTATTGCCTCCATATAACGGTACCTCCCGATTTTCGGTATTTTGATGATTTTAGCAACAATATTCATCGGAATTGTTTCAAATTTGGTATTTGAAGTTCGAAAGGGATACTACAGCCTAAGACAGAAAATTGCCTGTGCAGGTCCATATCTTCGCATAGCCCCCATATAATGGTGCCTCCCGATATTTCGTATTTTGATGATTTTTGCGACATTCTTCACCGGAATTCTTTCAAATTTGGTATTTGAAGTTCGTAATGGATACTACAGCTTAAGACAGAAAATTGTCTGTGCAGGTCCACGTCTTCATCTAGCCCCTATATATCGGTACCTTCCTATATTCGGTATTTTGATGATTTCAACGACATTAGTCACCGGAATTGTTTCAAATTTCGTATTTGGAGATATTAATGGGTGATACAGCCCATGACAAAAAATTAAATATGCAGGACTACGTCGTCGTATAGCCCCCATATTATGGAATTTTTTGAAGGTTTTTAAACGTTTGGCTTGTCTGCTTTTTAATTGTTCTATTTTAACTACTCTTCAATTTCAAAGTTGTTTTCTTTTTCAAATTTCATATTTCTTCTGATTGAATTAATGTTACCACTTCGCCTTAATTAATTGTGCCATAAATTGCCTTTATCCTTTACCATAAATCCTTTAATAGTTTTTCGATTACATCGCTTTGTATTGGCATTAGCCACATGGCTGCGTGAACAATCCCTTGAGACTTTTGGGCCATAGCCATATTTGCTGTCTTCTGTTTGCATTCGATAGCAGGGGAAAACTTGAATTGTCTTAAGGTTTTCTCGTTTCCGTTTATTTTTGTGATTGGTTAAATCAATCACAATGGCAAACTTACTTTCTACAATGGTTTCGTTCGTAAACATTGCGGATTTGGAATGAAATCGAAGCTATTCCATTCGCATGCGAGGGTGGTGGGAAAAGTGGATTTGGAAAAATGACAACACAACTAGAATATAAGCCTTTAAGTGTTTAGAAAAAAATTCGTAAAAAGTGCTTGGAGTGATTCAGATTAACTAAATCCAAAAAAAACTAATATAGCCATTAAAAATTTATATAAATTATTTTGAGAATTATTTTTAACGAAATCTTATTTTTTATATTTTCTTTTTCCAGATTTGGTGAATATTTAAAAAAAAGAGGCCGCAAGAGGTCTCCACTGTAAGTTCTACTACATCTATCCATATATTTTTTTGAAATCAATTTTTTGAAAACAATTCCCTTTAATTGCGATCCTCGCAAAACTGCCTGTACCATTGCAAATAAGTACCATTTCTTTACGCTCTTCAACTTCCGTGATTCCATTTAACTTCAACAAACGCACACACACTGACTGGATGTGACTAAATCAATTTCAAGGCCACAATGGACTAACATCCATTATTTACTATTTGAACACCGAACACGACCAGCTGGTCGTATCTGCACCACTACCAGCAGCATACCTTCTTCAAATATAGGGAAAACGAAAACAAAAAGGACGATGATAAGTTGAATGCCATAGCTGGAAATGATTGCATAGCTGGATGGGGTATGCCATATAAGACCACAATTCCTCTCGTTCACCATGCATTGTCCGTCCGTCTGTCTATCTGTGTTTGCATTGAATTCGTGTTCATTGAAGCACGACGAAGCTTATGTTGATTTGAAGAATAACAATTCTTAAGAAGACAAGTCAACTTCTGACGCCTTTAATGTTTTAGAGAAGCCGCATAATTTTAAGTTAAAAGATTTTCAATTGATCCCGTTTTAAAATCTTCTTTGAATTTAAGAAATTTGATAGGCGTATGTGTCATTTTAACTCTACTGCTACACATTGATACCCTACACCACATTTTGGTGAGGGTATTGTGTCTTTGTGCATTTATTTGTAACATGGGAAAGGAAGCGAGATAGACCCATAGTTACTTTTGAGGATCGCCCGTCCGTGCATGTATTCTTGTGAACAACAATGCAGGTCGCAATTATTATCCGATTGAGATGAAATTTTGGAAACCATATTTGTTTGTACCAAGGACGAACCCTATTGAAATTGGTGATTCCAGATTTAGATATAGCTCCCATATATCTTCAACCGATTTCGGGTAAATTGTGCACCGATTTCGTGTTTAAGTCCCTCACATTTTTAATATACATTCGACAAAAATGATATCTGGTACCAGCCTAGAAATACTTCAGCCAAATTTTATTAAGATTGGTTCGGATTTGGATATAGCTCCCATATATCTTTACACGATTTGGGTTAATTGTGCACCAAATGGTCAATATAAGTCCTAATGACCTGAATTTTGGTACATCCCACCAAATTCAGTCTAGAAGCAATTACATCAAATTTGGAGAAAATCGGTTCCGATATAGCTATAGCTCCCATATATATGTTTCAACCGATTTGAGGTTTTAAGTTTCTCACATGCGTAATATGCACTCCACAACAATAATCTTTGGTACCAAATATCAGATCAGGATAGAAATACATTTTTTGTGCACCAAATGGCTGATATCTGCCCAAATGGACTGATTTTGGCACTTTCGACGGAATTCAGACTGAAAACTAGTGCTTAAATTTTTTGTAAAAATCGGTCCAGATATAGCTATATCTTCCATA